CGGTGTGTCCCCCCGTCCGGGGCTGGAAGGGCACGCACCGGTCTGGAGGCTGGCAAAAGGGAGAGAGGGAAAAGGGAATTTAGCGATGAGTTTTCAAGAGGTTGGCAGGCTTCGGAGCAGTGCACGCACGACACGAGTGAGGACAAGCGGCTCTGTCCGGAGCGTGGTGCGCGCGTGATGTGTGTGTGCGTGGAAACCTACGTGCGTGTCCACGCAGAGAAAAAGAGAGACCGGTGGCGATAGCCCCCTAAAGATTCCTGGTCTATCTCCCTGAAATCAGTATGCTTATTGCAGGGAGCACATCTTGTATCCATGCATCCGGCGGACCGGGAATCCTATTTGCTTGTTTATTTGTCTGTCTGTCTGTCTGTTTCCCTCCCCGTATCCTGCCCATCCCGCTGCTCACAGACAGAAAATCCCAGCCTGTGCCCTATTGCGCTGCCTGTTCCCCACCGAAGAAACGTCACCTCAAATATGCCAGTAAATTCCTTACCGGGTTGGGAACGTAATTGGTCGAATGTTTTCTGTAACCTGACCAGCCAATAACACTCCGAGAAAAAAATTTAGAACAACCTAGTTACGACAGATGGTGAAAATGGCTTGACACTACTCGTGTGAGTCAATATTAACTGGAGCTGAGATACTTGCCGCACTCATTAGAAATATCACAGCACGCCGAAGAGGCTGCGTGTGCCGCTATATTTACGGTACGAGGTCCCTTATTTTCAGACAAATGCCGTCCAAATGGTTGTCCTTGTCATTCCTGTTTTAACAACATCTGCTAGCTAGCAGAAGCTCTGGCCTTGATAACTCGCGTTTCTCTGAGCCTGAATTATTCTTGGCAGACCTTCTTCTTGCAGTTTTTCCTCCTGAAAGCAGATAATAATTTATGCAAAACGATTAATTAAAAAGAAGGAAGGGGAGGAGACGCAAAACCCTCTTAAAAGCGCAAGAACCGTGGAACAAATGGAAACCGCGAAGGAAGGAATAAGAGTAAACGATAAGCAGCAGATAGCCAGAGTAACTACGGCTACGAAAAATGAAGCAGTCGTATCTTTTCAGCTGTAAAACGCAATAAATACGTAACCGTATTCCCAAGTTTTAAACTAACGTTTTAATTTCAGTCAATAGAAAGCAGTAACAGTTACACGAATAGGAACGGGTATTGAACCAGAGCAAGAAGTCAAGGCTATCTCTGCATTCAGATGTCAGCAGCGCATTTCCTTATCCTCACGTTTGCAAAGGATTCTTAAAGCCTTATATATGCAGTTATGCGGAAGCTGATTGCCAGCAATAAATAATGCATCCAAGGAAGAGGCTTGAGTACGTATCTTCTCACTTCCAGGATGCGGCTAGGGATCTTCGCCTCAATTCTACATCAAGGCTGTGGCTTAAAGCAGTCAAAAGGCTATTTAATTGTCAGGCAAGGCTTCCCCCTGCGGAACTCTCTCCGCATGTTACAACCTCCTTGCAGCTCAGCTCCATATGCATCTCTTTTTCACACTTCCCTCTCCATCTCGGGCTCCTACACCTGGTGCATCACGCATTTAGCCCATTAGCTCCGGCTCTTCCTTTCATCTTCCCCATGGCAGACGTTTCTATTTATCCACTGGCAATCAATGTGTGGCGTCACCGGTGGTACTGTAATGACGACTGCACCATTGAGGATGACAGCTTAGAAAGAAGAGGGCAATGGTGATCCCTCCCAGAGCAGCACAGCAGAGTGTAGCGCTCGCATCACAAGGTCACCCTATCTCACCGCTCGCACCTCTGCGCTGGCGGGAGAGGGTTGCTGGGTTTGCACAGGGCTGGGGCGGGAGCGGGAGGGAGGGGGGGAAGCGGTCGGGATTTTTTTTCCCCCCTCCCTTAAGCAAAGCCACAATGGAAACCAGGAAGGAGATGGTGATGTTTCTGGAAGGGACACAACTTGGCGCTCTGGTTGGCAAGAGGGTGCCTAATTTGTCCGAAGCAGTGGGGAGCCCCGCTCCGGAGCCGCAGGAGAAGATGATCCATCGGAACTGCCTCAGCCCCAGACCTGGCCCCTTGTCGTCCCGGGAGAGAGGAGGAGGAGGAGGAGGAGGAGGTGGCGGAGGAGAAGACGAAGAGGAGGTGGAGGTGCTGCCGGGGACAGGGACGGTGCCGGAGAGCCGCTCGGCGGCGGCAGCACTGCTTTCGGCCGGACAGCAGCCCCCCGCCCCGGAACCCCCCTCCAGCAAAGGGCAGCAGAGCAGCACGGACACCGAGTCGGATTTCT